TCGAGTACAGAGGAGGTAGCAAAGGCATTGTAGATGTAAAGACGATGTAATCAGTCCATCACCTCGGAAAACTTAGTTTTCAGGTAGTCAGTCCCTCAGCCTGGAGAAGAGTTTTGTTCTATAGAATGGAACAATGGAACATTCCTCCAGCCTATGGAACAAAACTCTTCTATAGGCTGAGGGACTGACCACCTCAAAACTACATCTTCAAGAGTGATGGACTGATTATATCGTCGTCACATCTCTACTGCTCCTGCGTACTCCCCTGGACTCGACTGAAGAAGCCTACTGTGTAGGCGAAACGTTTCGGAATAAAGATACCTAACTGTTGCACATGTGTCTTACCAAAATGTACTGAAGACAATCTTTTACGTGGGGAAGGGAGGTACACTGACGTAGATGAAGAGTTCTTGCTCCCAGGACTCTGGAGTTGATACAGTCTCCGCTGATCAAACCTGGAAACCCTCCACCTCCACTCAACATGTCTGCAAAGTATAGCACTTTTTTTCACTTGCATTTATGTACTACTTCCCTAGAACTTTTTACTGTTTTGTAGCTTATGATCTTTCAGAAATGGTGGCTCGACCCTTCAGGAATGGCACTGTGGTATTGGAACTACTCTATTTTCTTGGACTAAACCTGATTACCTTCCCTTCTGTATGACCCTAACGAGTTTAGCTCTTCACCATGGATATAATTGTATCTTTTGGCATGGCAAATCTTGGCATGGAAAATCTTGGAAGGAATGGTCCCAAATCTGCACACAGAAATCACTCCCTACGAAAGTAAAAGACTGGGCAGGCGATGCAAAATGCCGCCAATAAAAAGTAGGGGCGCCATTGGTACACTAAGAGAAAACACCATAAGTGTCCGGGGCCCAAGACTGTTCAACAGCCTCCCATCAAGCATTAGGGGAATTGCCAATAAACCCCTGGCTGCCTTCAAGAGAGAGCTGGACAGATACCTAAAGTCAGTGCCGGATCAGCCGGGCTGTGGCTCGTACGTCGGACTGCGTGCGGCCAGCAGTAACAGCCTAGTTGATCAGGCCCTGATCCATCGGGAGGCCTGGTCATGGACCGGGCCGCGGGGGCGTTGATCCCCGGAATAACCTCCAGGTAACCTCCAGGTATGGCATGAATTCATGAATAAAGATAACAGGGTTCGTTTCTTGGTCTCTGTCGGGCGCCATTACTCGTGGGTAATGAGTGGAGTCAATTTTCAACTATGGAGTGTGGGATGGTGGGTCTGAGTAGTGAACTGTTACTTGTGACATGTAACACACCAGTTTCTGTAACTGATTTCCTAAGACTATAACTAATTTTGCAAGAGTACAGCTAATTTCGCAAGACTACAACTAGTATCCTTGTAATTCTGATAATGCCTTTTGTAGGCAGCATTCATACACCGTTACCAACATTCATGCATATCAACACTGCTACCCACCTGACAAGTGACATCAGGGTACTGGCGTGGTAAATACTGAAATTCCTCGGGTAATGTTATTACAGAGCAGGAGAAGAGTGTATTATGGGGCATTTGTTCCCATCCCTTCAGTATTGACACTGTACTTGTTTGAGTGTGTATGGCAGGATGTATCACACACAGCTGTATGTATCTCCTACTTTATAGCCAAGCTGGTCAAAGAACCCAGCTTTCTGAAATAAATTAAACACACATAACTGGCCACGGTTACCCTTAGTCTAAGGGTAACCGTGGCCAGTGACACCTACGCTTTTCCGAGACCTCTCTCCCTGCTTTGGTTGCTCCCTTGCAACATTGCACAGCTCCTGATGACGCACTGAGAAGTGTGAAAGTACTTGAGCTAAAGATTTCCACCCCCCTCCGTGGCTTGTCCTGCATATATATATTATATATATATATATATATATATATATATATAATATATAATATATATATATATATATATATATATATATATAATACACACACACAATAAGATCACAGTAAACAGGTGATTTCAGAATATGCAAAACAACCACTGTGAAAGACTAGTGAAATTTCAAGCGATTTCGTGATTTCTCACATTATCAAGGAACTTGATAATGTGAGAAGTCACGAAAGCGCTTGGAATTTTACTATTCTTTCACAGTGGTTGTTTTGCATATATATATATATATATATATATATATATATATATATATATATATATATATATATATATATATATATATATATATTAGTGTGTGTTGTGCTTAATAAGTAAAACTTACGATTTTGGCATAAATAGCAACGCTCTTCTTGCCGAATAAGGCAAGCGAATATTTGTGTATGCAATAATTTCGCAAAAAATCTTATCTAAAATATAAATAGTTGAATTAAGCTAAATTAAATTTAGCTTGTTATAATAAGGTTAGGTAAGTTTTCTAAGGTACTTTTGGTACAAATTATTAATTTTTCCATTAACATAAATAAAAATATATCTTTAAACGTATAAGAGAAAATTTTAGAAAGAATTTTAAATGAGTTCTTGCTAATTGACCAGCTTTTCCTATTGGGCACGACATATTATATATCTAGGTTCGAAGCTTGAAGATGATGAGTTAGGCAAGAGACCTCTGTACTGTCTGCGTGTCAAAGTGACACATATACAGTACAATAACAAGCGAAACCTTCGTCTAGGTAAGAAACAAATAGTGAAAACTTGAATCTAATTCAATTCTCATTACCTTCATGTGTTCGAACTGAACTTGAGAAGCTACTTGATTATTGAGGACATCTGCGCGAGTACAAATAGGAAGCGTGTCTGTATGGCGCTCAGCAGACGGAGGATCAAGCCTGCACCGCGTCTCGCGACGAATGACCCACATGGGTTTAACTCTTAACGTGACTTATTTAATTTAATTACTTGCTTGATCATATTTGTAGTTGAGGTCTTTTCTGAAGTTGATCAGTGTGTATGTGTGTGTGTGTGTGTGTGTGTGTGTGTGTGTGTACTCACCTAGTTGTACTCACCTAGTTGTGATTGCGGTGGTCTGTTCACAGCTCCTGGCCCCGCCTCTTCAACTGGCCGCTACCCGGTCACTCTTCCCGCTTTATTATACCTCTTAAAGCTATGTATGGATCCTGCCTCCAGTACATCACTTCCCAGACTATTCCACTTCCTGACAACTCTGTGAAGAAATATTTCCTAAGATTCCTGTGGTTAATCTGGGTCTTCAACTTCCAACTGCGACCCCTTGTTGCTGTGCCCCATCTCTGGAACATCCCGTCTCTGTCCACCTTGTCTATCCCTCTCAGTATTTTATATGTCGTTATCATATCCACCCCTATCTCTCCTGTCTTCCAGTGTCGTCAGGTCGATTTCCCTTAACCTCTCCTCGTAGGACATAACCCTTAACTCCGGGACTAGTCTTGTTGCAAACCTTTGCACTTTCTCTAGTTTCCGTACATGCTTGGCTAGATGAGGGTTCTACACTGGCGCTGCATATTCCAATATGTGCCTAACGTACACGGTGTACAGGGTCCTGAATGACTCCTTATTTAGATGTCGGAATGCTGCTCTGAGGTTTGCTAGGCGCCCGTATGCTGCAGCAGTTATTTGGTTGATGTGCGCCTCAGGAGATGTGCCTGGTGTTATACTCAAACCAAGATCCTTTTCTTTGAGTGAGGTTTGTAGGCTCTGGCCCCCTAGACTGTACTCTGTCTGTTGCCTTCTTTTCCGTTCCCCAGTCTTCATGACTTTGCACTTGGTGGGGTTGAACTCCAGGAACCAGTTGCTGGACCAGGCCTGCAGTCTGTCCAGATCCCTCTGTAGTTCTGCCTGATCCTCGTCCGAATGAATTCTTCTCATCAACTTCACATCATGTGCAAACAGGGACACTAATGAGCCTATTCCTTCCGTCGTGTTGGTCACCAATACCAGAAACAGCACCGGTCCTAGGACTGATCCCTGTTGCACCCCGCTCGTTACAGGCGCCCACTGGCACCTCGCCACATACCATGATTCGTTGTTGTCTTCCTGACAAATATTCCCTGATCCATTTTAGTGCCTTCCCTGTTATCCCTGCCTGGTCCTCCAGCTTCCGCACTAATCTCTTGTGTGGAACTGTGTCAAACGCCTTCTTACAGTCCAAGAAAATGCATTCTACCCACCCCTCTCTTTTGTCTTATTGCCATCACCCTGTCATAGAACTCCAGTAGGTTTGTGACGCAGGATTTCCTGTCCTTGAACCCATGCTAGTTGTCGTTGATAAGCTCATTCCTTTCGAAGTGCTCCACCACTCTTCTGATAATTTTCTCCATGACCTTACATACTATACACGTCAGTGACACTGGTCTGTAGTTTAATGTTTTGTGTCTGTCTCATTTTTTAAAAATTGGGACTACATTTGCTGTCTTCCATACTTCCGGTAGTCGATGTTTCAATAGATGTGTTGATAGTTGTTTGTAGTACACAAAGTGCCTCTGCTCCCTCTCTCAGGATCCATGGAGAGATGTTATCCAGCCCTATCGCCTTTGAGGTATCTAGCTCGCTTAACAGCCTCTTCACTTCTTCCTCGGTTGTATGTATTGTGTCCAACACTTGATGGTGTACCCCACCTCTCTGCATTTCTGGAGGCCCTTCTGTCTCCTCGTGTGTGTGTGTGTGTGTGTGTGTGTGTGTGTGTGTGTGTGTGTGTGTGTGTGTGTGTGTGTGTGTGTGTGTGTGTGTGTGTGTGTGGTGACGTGTGTGTGGCGTGTTAGTGAGAGCCAACCACGGTGAAGTATGGTGAGCCACTCACGACACCGCCATCCGCTATCTTCCCAACACTCATGTGATCTGTTGATAAGGTATTTATAGAAATCACTAATATGTAGTGGGCAACGCAGCTTCAGTAGCTTGCTAATCTAATGGCATTTAACATTCAAAGAGCATTGTGATATTGAAGTATGAATTATATGAGGTTTAATCTTCTCAATATTTAAAGACATGTCAAAATCAAGTTGTATAATATCTTAACAGTGTGTGATGATGACACTACGATTGAGTGTAGCAGGTGTAATCCAGTGGTCAGTGCTGCTGTAGCCTACCATAGTTCCATCTGCTTCCTCACCTTCACAGTGGTCAGTGCTGCTCTAGCCTACCATAGTTCCATCTGCTACCTCACCTTCACAGTGGTCAGTGCTGCTCTAGCCTACCGTAGTTCCATCTGCTACCTCACCTTCACCTACCTGTCCTGCCTTACACACACACAATTGCAGGGCCCCAGTCATAGTCCAGACACCACCCCATCTTAGGTTTTACCTGACTCATAAATCAACAACAATATGGGTGATCATATCTAATACTTAAGACTTTCCTGTGAGACATTATCTGATAGATTACTGACGTCACTATGTTGACACACTGCTTCCTCACACTCGTGATATGTAGGACGGACCTCGGCAGATATATATTACGTCGTACACTCTTCACCTATTATCTATTATACAGCCTCACGCGAATATGTATTAAAGAGTCATTTTGCAAACTAAAAAATGTGACTTACCTTTACCCAAACAAAACAGAAGCACTTTTGCCATCACTTGAACTCTGTCTCTTCAGAAAAGCGAATAATTACTTAGTACCTCGCCAAGCCTCAATGTTCCCACGCACCTTTCAAGTACAGTCACCACAATTCCTTCCTCTAAAACACAAGTCTGACTAACCCGCCCTGAATCAGCATAATAATTACTATGCTTACGTAAGGCACTGTAGTTTTTGGTTATATGACCGAGGCCTTGTGTTGGCGTACTAGGTTTGAATTTGGGTGGAGCCGCCTCTTCCTTATTTAATCACAGTATACGTACTGCACATGAAATAAATCTTTAGAATTGGTTGCAAATTTTCTTGTTTAAACTGTTTAAACTTGTTTAAACTGTTTTGTCCACAGATGACACTCGTAATTTAACATGCTTTTAGATGTCTTCTTAATTCAAAATTCGCTGTGGAAAATGTCATACTGGTAATTATTATATTATATTATTATCACAAAAAGTGCCAGACTTCTGAGTAATGTTTTGAGGCTGTGTAAGATGATTAATAACGCGATGATTTTACTAAAGTAAGACTGTTTCTAGTCACACACAGGAGATTTGTAAAAAGGCTTGACAGCACACAGTATCAGAGGAAACATTCGTGATAGGCAACAGAGGGTGTGCACGAATGCTTTGAAATCAGACTGGGGGATCAGTCACAAGTGTCGCTCAACAGGGTAGGTTTTAGGCTTCTTTTTGTTGGTAATCTACATTAATCTAGAGTCATAATCTACAGCACGTAGTGATAAAGCCACTGGATGGCGCAATGTCTACATAGTAAAGATGCCCAGATGTTGTACGTGCGTATAATTATACAACATTTAACTTGAGGGAATAAAAAGCGACATGAATAAATTTGGTGACAATACAAAAAAGTCGACTAATAAATTCAGATAGATCTGTGTGGGAGAAACGTAGCATGTGTGTATTTTTCCAACAGTTACATTTAGTTTCAAAAAGTTTTCGCCCAAGCAGTAGGCTTCTTCAGTCAAATACGGAAGTCACTAAATAATGAGACAACAAAAGCAATGGAGATATAAAGTGAAGTAGTTTTGAGGTGGTCAGTCCCATGAGAAGTGTTCAGCTTCGTAGTTTTTAACAATGTTTAAAACTATGAAACTAAACACTTCATGACTCAGGGACTGACCACTTCAAGATTAATGGACTGATAATAAATTTTGGTTTGAAATCTTCACAGTATTTACCAAGTGAACTATTTATCTCATATCTCTGGGTAGTCTCGTTTCTGATCTTCACCGTACGTAAAGTGCCACATATCACCTTTTTTTTTTTTTTAACCTCTGCAGAAACTCCTCGCTTCTAGCTCTCATGACATTCTTCTGCACTCAGGCAAAGGGTGGGTTCATTCCAGTTAGGACACAACTCATTTTGTCCAAGTACCAGGAGGGCACAACCTATTTTTCCTGTCCCTCTCACAGAATGTATGATCCAAGTATCTCTCCAGCAATAAAAATGGGTTAACCCCGATCTTTCCTTACCATTGCCCTCGTTCATTGCTACATTTACTGTAGAATGAGACACATGTGCAGCATTTTGAAATCTTTATTGAGGAAACGTTTTACCAGCCAGTGGCTTCTTCAGTCCAAAACAGAGAAGAACGGTGGAAGATGAGGAGGAGTTTGAGGTAATCAGTCCCTCAGCCTGGAATCGATGTGTTCAGTCCATCAGTCTTCAGAAAACCTAAACTCCTCCTCATCTTCCAACGTTCTATTCTGCATTAGACTGAAAAAGCCACTGGCTGGCGAAACGCTTCCTCAAATAAAGATTCCCAAGTGTTGCACAAGTGTTTCTTCAACTTGTGGGTTTTCTAAACCGACAAGTTGAAGAATGAAACAGAAGTTGTCTTACATTCGTCCTGGAGCTAAGCATAAGTATTAACAGTTTCCAACTGCTTCATCCTTCCTCCTGGCTTTAAACTTTGCTTCTTTATTCACCACTGACCAGTCTTTTCCGTGAGCTTCAGCCTTGCTCACATGAGCACTGCCACGACATCTGTCGTTCCTCTCCCTCAGCAGCAGTGGGTGTCTCCTAGCTTCTCTAACTCGACATTCACGTGATGTTACAACTGATCCAGTGAAAGACAGTTACACATACTGAATGCACGTTATCACGTCATTACAGGAAACGGGTCAATTCTCTACTTCACAGACAGTACTTACAACCGCATAAATCGAATAAGAAAAAATATCTAATTTTCCGCTTAATAATCTTAATACCCCAAATTCAGGTCAATAACTCCAACCAACCAAAGTATTCATTCGAAGAAGTAAATCTACCATTTGTTTCCAACATTATGCAAGGCAAACTTAGCCATCATCTGGTCAATCTTGAGAAGATCGGTAAGATCTGGTCTAGCTTGTTGAGAAGATCGATAATATCCGGAGGCTTGTAACTAGGCTAGTCCTGGGACTGAGGGAACTACCATATATATGGACAGAGAATAAAGAAAATAAGCCTAATCTAAACACCATAGAGGACAGGATGGCCAGGGGTCATGATCACAGCTTACGTGATACCCGGAGAGATTGACTGGGCAGATAACTGAAAAGGAAATAAAACAGGAAGACTCGGGTATAGATGTAATCCAAAAGTACTATTGAAACACTGAAAGATTTCTGAATACTTCAGTATCAGGGTGGTGACTTAGTGGACTGATGAAGTGATGGTAACCTGTGCATAAGTTGAAGAACATATGTGGCATGGCACAGTATGTTCATAACCAGTAATGAAGGCAGTGGAATTACAAGTGTGATAAATTAATGTTCACTACCTATTTGCCTTATTTTTTGTTGAATTTGTATTTATTTCTTTTAGGGCTCGTGAGGCATGGAAGAGATTCGTCTGGTGTGGATGAAGCAGTTGCATCTTTCTTCCACCAGCAGCAGCAGCAGCAGCACCTGCTGCCTGTGTTGACCCCCACATCCTCTCTCCTCAACACATGAAGCTCTGCTCATCACCCAATCAACACTAACACCTTCACTCATCTCGTACTTTCTGCATCACATATCTAAAACACAAGTAAGGGCGCATTGTTGATGGTAAAGACCACTGCCGGTTACTGACCAATGGACGGAATGGAGTAAATGAGGCGGATTGTTGTTGGTGGTAAAGACCGCTGCCGGTTACAGACCAGTATACGGGATGGAATAAATAAGTATAGCAAACATGGCCGACACTTTTGATACCGACAGTGAAGTGGAGTATGAAGATTGTATATCATTTGATGTCCAGGAGCCGAAAATGAAAATCTTGGAGGTGCACAAACCAGTCCTTTCCAATATAGTCATAGAAGACTTAGAAATAGTACATACTTGTGAAGGTTCGAGTTCGACTACTAATAAAATTTGCTCAAGTACTTTAAGGGACAACAGTAAAGAAAATAAGTTACGGGCTTGTGAAGGCTGTATAAGTTCACCTGATCAAGTCGGAGGTTTGGAGGGCTCTCTGAATTCACAAGCTATAGGTACCATCAGTTCTCCAGGAAAATGTTACATCAATTGTTTGCCAAACGAGATCTTACTGCACATTTTCTCGTTTCTTAGTGTGCGTGAGTTGTGTATCAGTGTTGTCCCTGTATGTACCACCTGGCGGGACTTGGCCAAAGACAAAACACTGTGGACAAATCTAGTGTTTTCTTTTCAGCACCGTGTAGAGGGAGAGAGAATAAAGAGCTTACTGACAGCATCGCCTTTGTTGGTCTCACTGGAACTTCAGAGTCGAGAGGACGGTGGAGACTTGTTGCTACACGCAGCAGCTTCTTGTCCTAAACTCCAGGAACTCACTGTCAAATTTTGTGATGATTTAACAGAGAGAGTGTTTAAATCTTTAAAGAGGAATTGTCCCAACATACGTTATTTGAATGTAGAAGGCTCAAAAGTATGCTCCACTCAGTGTTACCATCTAATTGCTGGCTTCGGCCAATTGAGATATTTGAATTTATCTCATTGTCAGTTGTTAGATAATGCAGGATTGACAGCTATTGCAAGACAGTGTAACCATCTTGAATATCTTGACATTGATGGCATTACACATATACACGACTCTTCAGTAATGTGTCTCACAAAGGCGCTAAGTCACTGTATCAAGAACTTATTCCTAGATGGCGAACATTTAACAGATGCTTCATATTTGTCACTTCGAGAGTGTACACTTCTTCAGAAGCTCGGGATTTCATTTTGTGAAGAAATGACCGATGTTGGACTGTCTGGGATAAATGGTCTGAAACACCTGACCTGGCTGAAGCTTCGCAAAGGTAGCCAGTTGACTCCTTATGGCTTGACAGCTCTCTTCCAGAAGGAAGGGTTATCACAGTTAGCCTATTTGAACCTTGGCGAGTGCTGCCTTATGGACGACTCAGTGCTGATTGCTCTTGCGTCTACCTGCCCTAGGCTGGTCCATCTAGTGTTGCACTGGTGCTGGGAAGTAACAGATGCAGGTATTTCTGCTGTGGTGGCTGGCTGCCCACTACTTCGAGTCCTAGATTTGGTCGGAGTTGTGCAGCTTACTGGCACATCATTCACAAATGTTCCCACAGCTCTTCCTGACCTCCTTATATTAGATCTTGAACAGTGCAACTGTATTGATGAAACCATCTTATACAGTATAGTATCTGAGAAGCCTTCACTTAGAGTGTTCGACTACTGGGGGGATCCTGTAGTGCCGCCTGAACCAGACGACAAGGAAGGAGTCTTCAAAAGTTGGAAACGTTTTAGGATAGAAAATAAATGTAAAGAAATAAAATCACTAACCGAAAAAGTCTCTCCCTAGGATTGCTATGGGCTTGCCATCATTGCAAATAATGCACTTCAATAGCCTTGGATTAAGTTCTGTGATCATCACTACTATTGTTTACCATAGCAGGACATGAGATAGATTGTCATAGTTTCTCTAAATTTTAAAATATTTTTCAACGTTTAGAAAAAGTGTTTAACATTTTGAGAGTGAATATGTTGCCATTAATTCTTATTTCCACAAAACCACACTTTTTTTACTCGTCTATAATTAGAGATGTAAACCATTAAAATGTGCTTCTTATATACTTGATAAATAGCAATAACAAATTAATTTAAAATATAAAAAAAGAATGTTTTAATTAACACACGAAATTAATAAATTTTAATAGAATGGCAAATTGACAAAAACTGCAATAATTTAGGACGTGTATAATGAAAACTTTTTGGTCCTGGCGCCTTGGTCACTGCAGATATACAAGGAGGATAAAAACATGAGTTATATAGTAGGAGAGACTCTTCAGAGGAATTGTAGACTGGCAGCATGCTGCTGTCTCTGCTGGTGCATGGAATAAAGTTTGATGATCATGTGTGTCAGCACTGTCCCACCCACCGGCAGAGACAACAGCATGCTACTAGTCTTGTCTTCCCTATTATATAAGCTCATTCTTACCCTAATGTACATTGGCAGTGAACAAGGTCCCAGGACCGAAAGGTTTTCATTAAACATGTCCAAGTTATTACATAGTTTTTCCACTGCTTGTTGATATCACATAACTATAATTATTAAAAGTTTTTGTTTTAATCGCTCTCAACACGTTGGTGCTTCAGGATTTTGATTCAACTGTGAGTTTTGTTCCTACAGAAATACAGTTCTTAGGCGTTAAAATGATTGTATTACCAAAATTCTTTATGGATGTTATTTTATTGTAGAGTTTTATATATTTACAAAGCAAGCATGAAGCAAACTCCAGGGAGGCTGGAGTGAGGTAGGTAAGTCAGCAGTCACATGGATGGGTGAGGCCTTTTGGTGCTAGGTTACTCAGTACTAGGCTTTTCATGCTTAGATCATGTTTCCAGAAAAGTTATGCCACACTGGACCACTGCACTCTTTTCGCTCAAGTGATCACTAGATGTGATCAATGCATACCTTCAAAGACACTAGCATTATGCCCTTGGTGAATATAAACAATGGAAGACTAGCGAGAGACTCCGATACTTCAATGTGGCACACATGTAAGACTCCATTACAATAAAACTCGTTACCCTTCTGCAACGCTCTCACTTCAGCCAGATTCACTTCTTTTGCTACTCCAAGTTTCGGCCATCAAATGAATTTCTGCTTGTCTTGTTATTGTTTTCATGTGCTACAAAAGCTGGTGGCCATCCATCACACTGCCGGACATGTGGTTCTCACAGCACGATCATCAAAGACAACCACTTCCTGTCACTGAGGCATCTAATTTAAGATCCCATAATTTTGAGTTATATCTCATTTTAATGCAGCTTTCTACATGATGCCAGTTAATATTTGTTTCTAATAAATTCTTGAAAAACAGTACTGGAGTTTCACTTTCACCACACTATTTCTCCAAAGTGGTGATACAGAGGTAAATAACAATACAACCTCTCAGTCTTTTCAAGCCTCTTCAAGGAGGGGGGGGGCTCCTTGCCATAGTGAAGAGGCTCTTGGTCTGACGAATTAGACCTTTTGGTCTCCTTCCTCAGACTGAACCTAATTATCCCCCCAATCCCTCCCTTCCCTATCCAATCCTCCCCATCTCCCCTTTTCCCTTTCCTCCTCTCCCTATCCCTCTCCTTATTACCTTCCTGTTTTCAGCCTTTGGGATTCTAACCACAGGTACACTAGTTCCTAGGTAGGGGAAGGGCACTATGGTCCCTCCCATTCCATTGAGGTCCATGGTGATGTAGTTTGCCATGGAATCTGGATCACCTGGGGATATCCCACTCCCTCTCCGGTCTCCTGGAGGGTAGCTTTGGGTGTGCTTCAGGTGACGGGTGTATCTCTGGAAGCTGCCTTTTGAATCCCGGGGGATGGTGACCGAAGGAGGTATGACACAAACAACCCACACATAGGAGAAAGGAGCTTATGACAACGTTTCAGTCCGACTTGGACCATTTACAAAGTCACACTAACAGAAAGGAGAGAAGGAGCATATATAGGCCAGCAGACAGGGACTGGACAAGAGAAGTAGTATAGGAAGATGAGAAGTAGTGGTAAAGGTAGAAGTAATAGTAGAGTCAGTCAAAGACTAAGAAAGGGAGCACTACAAGGGAGATAGGGGCCCACAAAGGGTAGGAACAAGATCACAGGGGGAGGGAAATAATAATAATAATAGACCAAATACCCAAGGCAGAAAAAAGAAAACCCAAAGGAGAAAGAGGAAAAAGGAAAGGGAAAGACGGAGAAGGGGAAAAACAAGAATTAGGTTAAGTCATGGGTATTCTGAAGTTTGGAGCATTTTACAATGTAATGGGAAATGGAGGCATCTACAGATTATTATAATTATTATAATCAAAAAGAAGCACTAAGCCACAAGGGCTATACAGCGCTGCAGGGCAGGAAGGAAGCGAGGGCATCAGGTGGCAAAAGGGAGATGGATGAGTAATAGGTTACGGATAGCAGTGGATGGTGAAAGGGTAAAGGGCAGCAAGAGACTGAACTAGAAAGGGCTGAGGGGAGTGCAAAAGGTATCATCATCAGAGTTTGTGGAGTAAATCAGTTGTTGTCAAAAAGTCAATGAGAGAGTCAGGATTAAAGGAGGGTCCATCAGCAAGAAGGGAAGGTAAAGAGAGAGTAGTAGAACGAAGATAATGTTGGAGGTAAATTCTGTGTGCTCGTTGATAGAGAGGGCAGTCTAACAGAATGTGGCTAATCGATACTGGAACTTGACACTGCTCACAGAGAGGAACAGAGTGCCTCTCCATGAGATACCCATGAGTAAGACGAGTGTGGCCAATGCGAAGGCGGGAGAGAGTGGTCTCCCATCCTCGGCACTGATGACAAGAAGATGGCCAGTAACCTATGCTCGGTTTAACAGAATGAAGTTTGTTACCGAGCAGAGTTGACCAACGTTGTTGCCAACGGGTGTGAAGGTGGGTAGCTATTGCAGCAAAATAGTCCAGAAATGGAACACCTCTATAGGAAATTGGTAGGTCATGTACTGCTGACCGCGCAGCAGTGTCTGCCTGTTTATTGCCCTGTACGTCGACATGACCAGGGACCCAACAAAAAACAATATCTTTATGCTTGGTAGAGATACGGCGTAGCCAAAGTTGGATACGGAGAACTAGGGGGTGAGATGTATCAATTTTTCGTACAGCCTGTAGAACACTAAGGGAGTCTGAGACTACCACAAATGACAACACAGGCATAGATGCGATACGAATAAGTGCTGCAAGAATGGCATACAATTCAGCAGTAAAAATGGTAGCCGAATATAGTAAATGCCTTTGCACGACGCTGTCCGGAAACACTGCTGCGAATCCGACACCGTCTGAAGACTTAGAGCTATCTGTGTACACAGCGATGACATGAGAATGAGAGTGGAAGTGATCAAGAAAAAGAGAGCGGGAAGCCACCGTAGGCAGTTGGGCTTTTGAGCAAGGGAGTGAGAAAGAACAGACCCAAACAGCTGGAACTTCCCAGGGGGGTAGGGAAAAGTGAGATGCTACATGAACGTATAAAGGTGGTAACTGAAGGGAAGACAAGAGCGAATGTAGGCGAAGAGAAAAGGGACGGAGCAAACAGGGGTGGTGAACAAATAAAGAATGTCTACTAATATCAGTGACCATTCTATAAATGGAAGGATTGTGGAGATTGTGAGAGCGTACATAGTAGCGAAGGCAATGGGCATCACGGTGATCAGACAAGGATGGAACATTCGCTTTTGCATAGAGGCTCTCAACAGGGGAAGAGCGAAAAGCACCAAGGCATAAACGTAATCCTTGGTGATGGATGGGGTTAAGGCTAGAGAGAGTAGAAGGAGAGGCCGCTGAATAAATCTGGTCACCATAATCGAGTTTCGATAAAACGAGGGCTGAATGTAGGCGAAGCAGAGTTCAACGATCAGCTCCCCAGGAAAGATGAGCAAGGGTTTTAAGACGGTTTAGGAGGCTGTGACAAGTTGCCTTCAGAGAGGTAATGTGAGGTTTCCAGGATAACCAACGGTCAAAGAGAAGGCCTAGAAACCTGACTGTATCACATTCGGGGATACGAGAGCCATAGAGATACAAAGGATGATTGGAGATGACAGAGCGTCTAGTGAAAGTAATTTGGTGAGTTTTGATACTGGAAAATTTAAACCAAGTGGAAACACGGTCGAGCCCATGCTGGAGAGAAACTGCAATGAGATGACAGTCAGCGCCTGCACAGGCAATAGCGAAGTCATCAACATAGAGTGATGACCAAATAATGGGTGGAAGAACAAAGGCCAAATCATTTATAGCAAGGAGAAAAAGTGTTGTGCTCAGAACACATCCCTGAGGGACACCTTCAGCTTGGGCAAAGTCTGGGGAAAGCACATTATTGACTCGAACATGGAAGTGCCTGTCAGTTAAAAAGTTCTTAAGGAAGGATGGTAGATTGCCTTGGAGGCCTAAGGAGTGGGCTTGGGCCAAAATATACCTCCAAGTTGTGTCATATGCCTTCTCAAAGTCAAAAAATATGGCAATAACTGAGTGATTATTTGCAAAGGCATTACGAACATACGTATCCAAGCGTAGTAAGGGGTCTATGGTAGAACGGCCCTTACGAAAGCCACATTGACTAGCAGAGAGACTGTTGTGTGTCTTTAAATACCACATTAAATGGCGATTTACCAGACGTTCCATCACTTTGCAAACTGCACTAGTAAGAGCGATGGGACGATAGTGGGAGGCATCATGTCCTGTAGTACCCGGTTTGCGGAAAGGGAGAACAATGGCAGATTTCCACAGTTGGGGAAGAACTCCTTGTGCCCAAATAAGATTGAAGAGGTGTAAGAGGACTACAAGGGCTGACTGATGTAAATGTTGTAACATACGAATATGAATGTCGTCAGGTCCAGCTGCCGATGATCTGCAAGCTGAGAGTGTTGCCTTCAGTTCCTGAAGTGTAAAAGGCACATTATACTGTTCTTCTCTGAGAGAAGAAAAGTCCAAGGGTACTAACTCTCTGGCAGACTTTGAGGAAAGAAACGAGGGGCATGGGCATAGATGGAGCCCCCGGGAAATACGGACCAGGTGAGTGCCAGTTTCAATGGCAACATCAAGAGGGTTTGCTACATCAATACCGGCGACCCGTAGAACAGGAGCCGGGTCAGAAGAGTATTTACCACTCAATTTCCTCACTTTTTTCCAGACTGCACTCATAGAGGAAGCAGAGGTGATGGTGGAAACATAGTCTCACCAGCAAGTGCGTTTAGCATCACGGATGACACGGCGAGCGATCGCACGCTTCTGCTTAAAATCAAGAAGTCTGTCATTGGTTCTATTGTATCGGTACCTGCCCCATGCAGCGAGTTTCAAACGTACTGCACGAGCACAAGAAGGAGACCACCAAGGCACGCATGCTTGCCTGAGATTTGGGGTATAGAATGAGAAGCTGCGGTATAAACTGACATCGAGAAGAGGTGTAGGAGCTCATCAATGGAGGATGAAGAAGGAACCTCACTAAAAGCAGTGAGCTGCGAGTAAAGGTCCCAATTTGCCTAATCAAATTGCCAGTGAGGGCTACGGAAAGGTGGTGAATATGAAGGAGAAGTAAGGATGATTGGAAAATGATTGCTGTCATGTAAGTCCGGTAGAACAGACCAGGTGAAGTCTAGTGCAGTGGAGGAAGAGCAGACTGATAGATCCATGCAAGAGAGAGTATGAGTACGAGGATCAAAATGAGTGGGAGTACCCGTATTTAAAACATGAAGGGGGTGAGAGGCGAGAAAAACCTCCAACTGGATGCCACGTGAGTCACAATGAGACCCCCCCCCAGAGGAAATGGTGGGCATTAAAATCACCAAGTAACAAAAGTGGTGGTAAGGATGAAACAAGAAAGGCAAAGTCTGGGATAGAAAATGCTCAAGAAGGAGAAAGATATAAAGAACATATTGTAAACCACTTATTCAAGTGGATACGGGCTGCAGTGTAATGCAGCGACGTATGGACAAATAGTTGACAGTACGGAATATCATTGCATAGAAGAAGGGCACTTTCATTAAAGGTCCCATCTGAGAAAGGATCCGAAGAATACAATAAATTATAGCCTGAGATAGGTTGGAAAACAACTGAGTGTAATTTTGGTTCTTGTAAGCAAGCACCAATGGGAAAACCTGGAAAGCAACATCTGAAGCTCACCCCGATTACCCCTGAGGCCGCGGATATTCCACTGTAAATAGGCCATGATTGGCGATGAAGAAAATACCAGGAATCCATAGGTAAAAGCACCTACGGACTAGAGGGGTTAGAAAAGTCAATGTGTGGTGGCATTGGAAGACGTTCAAGCAGCGAAGGAACGGAGCGTTGCGAAGAATGGGGTTGTGAAGATGGAGGAGAGGGAAGGGAA